TCTCAAAAGTGTTCCAGTTTGCTAGATCTGATGGTATGGACCTGTAGTCCCAACTACTTCTGAGACCAAAGTGGGAGGTTCACTTAAGCCTAGGAGTTGAAGACCATAGCATGTTATGACATGCCTGTGAATAGCTACTGAACTACAGCCCTGGCAACACAGAGAAATCCTGTATCTTAAAAAAAAAAAAAAAAAAAAAAAAAAAAATCCAGTTTGGTCAAAAAGTTACATGATTAGCTAATCCAGAAAACCACTTCTAGAGATAGTAATAGCTGTGCTGTCCTTCTCTGAAACTGTGCTACCCAAACTATATTATAAACCTTGAAGAATGAAATATAGTTTAAAAACTATTTTGATAAAGAAACATTATTTTAAATGCCAAACCGCTATTATTATCTTGCATAACTACTATTGTGTTACATACAGTTTGGGAAATATTGCATTAAATAAAGTTAAACAAGTTTGACTATTGGTAGAACATGTGGCTTTCCAAAGATATAATATTTTAGCATGTCATGAATCGCCAAGAGGGTCATATACTGGGCACTGTTTCCAACCTTAAATGCAAAACCATTTCTCATGAAATGTCAAAAGAGGTTCATGTTCCACAAAATGCTCCCACATTTTCATTTGATAAATACAGGTGTCTCGTATGTCTTGGACTTGTTCTAGGTCCTGGAATCAGCAGTGACCAAAACAAAGTTCTTAGCCTCAGGTACTTCTGTTCTAGTGGCGGAGACAGATAATAAACATAGAAACAAGTAAATATTGTAATCTGGAAAACAATGATTTATCTCCCAATTGATTTAAAGTCAAAACTCCCAACATCTAACAATTCTGAGGGATATTCATGAAGCAGCCTGTCTTCAGATATGAGTTGGCAATGATTTGTGTCTCTCAAAAGCCATCGCTGGGCATTGTGTTTCCTGAATGAAAGAAGCTTCCCTTAACAAGTCTCCCCCTTTGAACTGAGTGTGCTTCATTTGGCATTCTCATTAGTATAAATGTGCTTTTAGGGGGGTCTACCTTTATTTGGATTGCTTGTGGACCATATTCATATGTACCTTTAATTTAATGCTATTTCCTGTCCTAGCTAAACTGAGGTGTTACTTAAAACAGCGTCCCTTTCAAAAGAGATGTTAATAGGTGCTTAGCACCCAGGGAATATATTCCAACAAATGAAGGGTTATACATTCTATGCCACACATCCCATCCCCTAGGGCTGGGGCGGTGAGAGACAAGAAGGTTCTTACACACACACACACACACACACTCTCTCTCTCTCTCACATACACACTCCTACCCTCTGATTTGTTCTGCGCAGAATAGAGGCTCACATTTAAATGAATAAGCCAAGTTAAAACTTTCTATCCTGGAACAAAGCAAAAGGAAAGCCTCTTTATGTTGCAGGGACTATAGATGCCACGGGCTGAGCCTGTCCCAAAGTTTCCCTCCACTGCTCAAAAACTAAGCCATCTTGCTGCGTTTAGCACTTCTCACCAGACCACCCACCCAGACACGGATACACAAACCACATGTGTGAGGAATGCTGTTCGGCTAGGAAATCAGTATCAGTATTTCAACCTTATTACTTGCACAGACGGCCCTTTTAGTGCGACTCATTTGTTTTATCTTTTCAATAGCTTTGATTATTTTCTTTTAATGGCCTGGATTTATCCTTTTCTACCCTTTTGAAGCTTCAGAACTCTGTGGTGGGGACTGCATGGGGTGGGAGACATGATTAAAAGGGGAAAATGAGCAAATAACTTTGTCTTTACTCACCACCTATCTCCCACTCCCTGTGGGCACCTCCTGTTCCGTGCGGATTACCCAGGACCCCAGTAGTCACCCTGAATTGTTACAAAAGTGGACTCAAGGAGCCTTCTGATTCAGGTGGTAGACTATTTGTGCTGTTATTTAAGAGCCATAGGGCCCAATTATCATTATCAGAGTGTTTTTTGGTTTGTGCTGTATATTTCTCTCACTAGCTCCTAGGGACCACATTGGTTACCCTTCTTTAATTAGGGGGAAATTAAGACCAAGAGGCTAAGCTGAGAGCCAAAGGCAATTTAACAACCTCTGGAAAAAATTGGAAGCACCTCTACAAAAGGGGACCGCATAAACAGGAAGGTATGGATACTATTACCTGGCAGAGAAAGCAGAAGCTTTGAAATGTGCTCTGTGTTTTCTATTTGGGTGGTATCCCTGGCAAGGAAACCAATAAAATACCCTTAGTTGCTCCACTAATCAGAATAAAACAAGACCACTAGTTTTGGAGACTTATTTCCCTGAGTTACTAACCAGAGAGGTCTGGGGGTCAGGTTTGGTTATCTGTCATCTCTCTCCAGGTTTCCTTGCATATCAAAATGGGGCCATAAATTGAAGAGACAGGGAACAAATTATTGGGGAAAACCATGTGGTGCAGTGCACCCCTGGGTGAGTGTGCTCCAGCAGGGCCTGGTGCTGCTCTTGACCCTTTCTATACACTGGAGAAGGTATAAGGCCATTATTTTAAATAAAAATGAGTATCTATGCCGCAACAAGGAAACAGATTAGTCCAATCCAAGTACGGCCATTAGAAAGTTCTACTGCCATCCCAGCCCATCTGGGACTGATGATTCCACACCTAAAATCAGTCTCGGGTTGACAAGAGACAAAGCAGTCCCCTCTAATCCCCTAAATGGCTTGTCAGCCTGAATGAAGATAAAGTCAGTTTCTCAAATTTGATGTAAATCTCTTTACTATTAAGTAAGAGCATCACACCCAATTCCTTGGTTATTTACCAAACTGAATGTATTTTATTCTCTTTGTTGTAGTTGCTCTTCTTCCTGTCTAATCAAGGTAGCAGTTCCTGCTGTGAAAGTAAATGCAGGGACTTTGTAAGATCGACTGTCTCTGGCTATAGCACATTGTTTCTGAACAAAACCCTCCAAAGAAATGGGGAAGAAAGAAAAAACATCATGCATACATAGCCCAGTTTATGCCAAGAATGCATCCCACCGCTTCTTGTTCCAATCTTTGCAGAGCTTTAAAAAATTATATATATACTGGCTTTAGGACACAGAAGATGGTTCTAGACACGAGGGACTCCTAAAATGAATGAGGCGTGGACTCTCTGCCTTCAGCTGGTTTTGGACGCATTGTCCTTTCTCTGGATGCCTCAGATCTCCCCATCTATTCTTCTTTAGAAACAGCATCACTTTTTGAGAAAAGGCTAGGGGCTAATTTTTCCTCTATGCAAAATAAAGCCAAACTTTGGTCAAATGACTCTTAGCAAATCAGTACAATTATACATTTTAAAAACGGTGCTGCAACAGATTATATGAGTTTAAGTAAAACACCTATTTCTATCAATCTGTACTTACATTTCAACATGGATTTTAGAGAAGGGAAATACATCTTACAGTGTGCCTTGAATTCACACAAAAGCATGTACACATACACAATGTGTCTTTCAACATAACTACACATACACAGTCCATTAAAAAGATACTGACAGATTTATAAAAGGTATTGGCCTTGCACTGTTAATCTCAATAATACATTTTCACTTAATTTATTTTTGCACTGCATGGTAGCTCTGGCCACCATTAAGGATCTGTCAGCATTTCCATCATAACTCTATTTTCAGAATACTGGAGTACAAGTGCCAAAATACATATTTACAGTTTACAGACAGCGGTGGCTTTGTCTTCCTTTTAAATTGACTTCTTCAATGCATCTTTACAAGGAATATTCAGGGATGGCAGTGCCTACATAATAAAAAGCATCATATAAAACAAAAGAGGTTAAAAGATGTAGACTTCCAGCCCAAGACTAGACTAAACCATGGGAACAGACTCCTTAACATTCACTGCAGCTGTAGTAGTCTCTACATCATAGTCATAGTTTAGAGCAACAGTCCAAAGCAAGATTACTCTGATAATATATATGTGTGTATATATATATATGTATATATAAATATAGGAGCAGTACATAGCATTAGTACACAAAAAGCTAAAGGTGGAAAGTAATAAGCATACAGCAAATTACTCCAGAGCGGATCACTTCTACAGTGACAAAAATAAACACGAGCCACCAAATAGACACTGACTGTTTCCAACACTGGACATCCAACTCCATTAAGTAGGCAGAGATAAAACATTTAAGAGTAAAGTCTCTCTTAAACAAGTATATTAACTACATTTGTGGAGCTTGAAGTGGTAAATGGGATGTTATACAGCCCTAAAATTGTTTCTTCTCTTTTTTTTAAAAGATTAGGTGGGTCTGTAAAAGACATGGGCAAAAAACACTTTTTTTTTTTTTTTTTTTTGGTTGAAGAAACTTTTTACTGGAAGAAATCCAATATTATTGGCTGTTTCCACCAACGGGTGAATATTCAGATTAGAGAGATTTGCCTAGCAATTTAAAATGTTTAGGACACTCTGAGATATTTTTTCCTAAAGTTTTTGTCTCCTGATCTGAAGTTTTTATAGTCTTCCCTTGATACTATATGAACGCATATATAGAAATACCCATTTGTCTGTATTAAGATCGACAGAGACAGATTATGCTGAGGATCATGAAATAACTGCAAAATATTGTTGCTAACATGACTGTTACATCCAAAGACAGAAGGACCCCCAAACCCACCAACACACATCCTGCTGCAAAACCAGAGGCAAAAGCTAAGTTATAAGGGGGTATAGGGGTGGGAGTTCTGTACATATATTTTTTCCCCTGGCTAATCACTGAGGAAAAAAATTTTTAAAGTTTATCATACTCTGGCTGGTTCAAACCATATTCACATTCACCCAATTAATTTTATTTGCAACATCTATTTATATATGTACACCAAAGAAATTAAACCCTGCCATTTCCCCTTTGTGCTTAAGAAACCAGAGCCACTGTTAGGGTACTCATGTGTCAAATATATTCTTAATAGGCTTCAAAGTTGGGTGCATATAAATGTGACAGAACTGAAGGGGTTACTTTAAGAGAGGTAATATAACTACTTGAAATTAATTCAAAGGGATCTTTTTATTTCTGTATTTAAAAAAGAGATGAGAGCAAGATTACCACTTCAAAAAAAATAACATAACTCTCACTCTTAATTTTGTGAAAAACTTATTTTGCTATCTTGATGAGTAGAAGATGGGTAAGTTTTTCTGATTTTTATCAATTTACAAACTTACATTTTAGGATATTCTGAAGAAATTAACTTTATTCCCTAATTTTCAAGTCTAAAGTTTATCATATAATGGCTGCCCTACTTATCATCCTTTTTGTTTGGTCATTTCTTATCTTACCTAGTTTCTTGGTTAGTAACTTAAGGGAAAAAATTTTACATTGGCAAATCATATTTTTTGCCCCGCAATTTAGTTACAGAAATAAAAATGGTCCAAACTACATATACACGTTTCTAGTTAAACTACACAGATATATTAAACCACATAAACCTCTGCCTTGATCAGAATATGTAAGCAGTTAGAAATTTTAAAATATTTTTAAAATTTGCAACATTTCCATATAAACATTACCCTCCCCTTCCAACTATAAAGTTAAAAACAAAACACAACTGAAACCACACAATTCATCAATCACCTAATGTCCAAAATGACTCAAAGTTTCTCTGCACATCAAGAAGTGGACAATACAACAAATGCTTCAAGTACGGTTCATGCCAATCATCATTAAGAATCATAACATTATTGACAAAGTACACTTGTCCTCTGGGAGGACGCTTCAGAGAAATAATTTACAAGGAGCATGGCTGTATTATAATTTTTTTAAAGGAAAAATAGTTTCTTTGGATAGAAAGAAACAGTGTAAAAAATCCCCTTTTTAAAATGCAGAAATAACTCCATTATCAATCTGCATTTATATAACTGCCCAAAAGAATGGGTCTGGAAAGACCATTTTCTGTACAGACACGAGTTAATCTCTGTATGAAAAGACAGCATCTGGCATGGGAACAAACAAGGGAGATACTGGTCTATTAGCACACATAGAGACTTTCTTAAGGCTGATCCAGTGACGAACCTTTGGATCCAGAAGTATTTCTTCATTTCTCTTCTTTTCAGTTGAATTTCTAGTAAAAACTTGGAAGATGAGCTGTTCTTACTTTTCATTTCTCCACTTATGGAGAAGATGGAATAATGACACCAAAAGTACTTTGGTTTTGTTCTTTTAAAAATAATTTGCTTTCTTTTGCATGCCACAGGACAGATTTCTAGTTTCAAAACAAGGGTACAATGAGAACAAAAATATCCCCCCATCCCCAACCATCTTTCACCAATACAAGAAATCCTTCTGGAAATATTAGTAAGCGACTAAACAGGTATTGAACCACTGAATCTACAAGTTAATACATAATCTGTTATGGCAGAATAACCAAGAATTTTACCCCAAAGAAAGATTTTAATTTTTTCAAATATAAAAGTGTCTAAGAGAATCATATGTGAACAAACAAAAATCTCTGATTCCAGGTTTTTAGGATAAAGATGAGTAACACACTGGCAGCTGAAGAAAGCTGAAACTCTTACTAATAAATAGATCCAAATTTCCAAATTAAGAATTTCTACAACATTTTCTTTTAGAAAACAGGACCAGAATTCCTTTTTTTTTTTAAAATGATGATCCTGTGGAATGCCTTTACTTCCATATTTACCTAGTATTATAACAGTAAAACAGACACAAGAATGTTGATGACAGCTCAACAATGCTGGATTCAGGACATTTACAGGTACACTTTTGTTTAAAAGTCCTACAAGTTTATTGACTAAGGCTAGACAGCAATTCATATGATCCTATTTGGTGCATTTTCTACCATGGTCCAAGATCATTACATGGATACAGCCAAGGACTGGGCCCCAATTTTCAGGAAAAAGACCACAAAGAAGAAAATCAAGGTGGCTATTTGGTCCCCCCAGTTGATAATCTGTGTCCTGGAACTGGAAAAACAAAAGGTGGAAAATACAGACTGCAACGAGTTAAAGGACTTGGAAAAAGTTGGTGGAAAGTGGCACGGTATACAAGTAAGGTCACTGGGCTTGGGATGGCAAGGGCGCTGCATTGAAAGAGCATCCACGGGACCAAGTACTTATAATGTCTGATGGTGTCATTCCCTCAATGACTTAGAATATCTGTATGCGATAATAAATAGATCAGTTATGTAATAAGGCAGTGTGTTGAATATGCATTCGTCCTGTGGAATGAACCACCACAGAGAGATACATGATACCATACACATTCTTTGAGTTTTCTTGTGTTGTGTTTGATTTGTTTGTTTTCAAGGCTATCCAGGCTAACTCTTCCCGGGGATTTCCTTGGAGAGAAGAGTGGTCCGCTGAGGCTGGTTTGCTTTAACCTCTCCTTTATCAAGAGATGATGACTGGCTTTAAAGAAAAATAAAGCTGAAGGTTGTTTGATTTTTATTTTTTCCCTTTTGGTTGCATCATTCTGAGTGTTTTCATATAAACAACAACAACAAAAAATCACAACCAAAGAAAAAAAAAACACAATAGTTTTTGATGCATCCAGTTGTTATATCCTCAGGATGTTCCAGATGTTTCCAGGTAACTCTGTAGTTTACGGACTGTGGTTTTGTCCAGCGAGCAAAGATCAAAATCAAATGTTGTGTTTGTGATATGAAAGTGTCCAGTTTCTTCTATAAGGTTCACGATCTAGAGGATTGAAGAAGAGAAAGTTTGGGCAATAAGCAGCAAACATCAAAAGGCAAAGAGAGAGTAATAGAGGGGCGATCAAATATGGAATGAAGTGATAAATATGCGTATTTATAGCAACAAGGTCCCATACTATATGAATAGCATTAAATTGTCTCGGTCAACTTGATAAGTCAAAGGTATATTAAGCCTTAGAAATTCCCAGTGAGAACTTGTCTTGCTTTTCATACCCTTTAAACTCATTCCTGCTTTCAAGTCGTGAACAGAATATTTAACTGTGAGTGAGCAGTTAGGGGGAGATAACATTTCAAGACCCCTTTAAAAATTAGTTACTGACTCAACAGACAGTGATTATACTTAAACATAAGAAAAATCCAGCCTAGAAATAACAAAACTACTTTTACTTCAGTACAAACACATACACACACACCGCTATATAAAATCATTTTCCTTTATCATTATATAATTGTTAATAATTTGGAAAACCTCATTTCTTCTTGTATTGGCTCCAACTTTCAGAAAAATGTTAAATGACAGAGGTGATGGTTACTGTTTTAGGTGGGGAGGGAGTCAGAAGAAAACCTTACTTGCTTAAACCATTAGACTCAAGGTTCTGTTACATGCATCAAGAAATTCTTAGAAGGGGTATACCCAATTGTGGTTAAAGTGTTACATTTATGTAAAAATTTATCCAACAAGATCTTATTGACACTAAAAGATCTAAAATGGACACTCATTTGTTTTATTAGTTATTAGTAATAGAACTTTCAGCAAGTCATCCACACATATCCACATACATACAGAACCACAAACACACAGCTATGCCCAATCATATACTTACTATATAATTAACATCGATTGAACTAAGACTATGTATTTTCTGGAATAAATTTTTAGTTTTGCCATTTTGTGCAAAAATACTATGGATCTAGTGAAAATGTGTAAATTTTGGGATGGAAACAAGTAGTCTCTTCAGAGCTATTATAATTTCAAATTTATACAATGGAAATAACAAGCTGACCAGAATTTGACTCCTTCCCCCAGCCAGCTGCCCAGTAGGTAATTGACAAAGCATTTAGAATAGAGTTCTGGATTTGGTATATCAAGTTCTGATTCTGCTCACTCTTTCAATGGTATTAGAACATCATAACTTTTGAGCCTCAGTTTCCTCATCTGGAAAATGGGAGTAATGCTACCTATTCTACTTGTGCAAGTTTGGGCAGATGATCAAATAAGATATCATAAGCAAAGCTTCTTATAAATGGTAAATTGCTACCTAAGTCAGGATAACATGATTATGATTACCTTATAAACTGATCCTTAATTATCTGGGAGGTAACTAAACTGCACATGAATTATAGACCTGATGCTTTTTCCTCCCGCCCCCAATGAGTGTTAGCCATTTCATTAGCACTAAAATAAATAAGGCAAGAAAATGCAGAAACTAAAACTCAGAAAGGCCTGCTTGAATAAAAAAAAATTGTAACTAATTCTTTTAAGAAAACAGTTTTCCATGACCCAATATAGTTGTTCCCTAATTATTTAACAGCAAATAGAAAACTGGGCAATAAAAATATTCCTTCTAGAAAAAAGCTACTTAATTTTAAAGCATATAAACACTTTTGCCTACTAGAAACTTGAGCCCGGGCATTTCTCATGCATTGTGCTATCTTGCAGATCTCCAGTATTTCCATCACCAACCCCTACTTCCTCTATCAGCGTGCTGCGCCCGGCCTGCAGCCACACATGCACAATGATATAACGGGGATCTGATAAATCTAACTAAATGAGCCCCACATTTTTATGGGAGCCTATAAGAATACATCAAGGTAGATGCAGAGAAACAGCCTTAATGTAGTAGCAGTGGCAGCAGTTGGGGAGTTGGGAATTATTTGCCAAAGGGAACAGCATTAATGATTTGAATTATTAGAGCATGTGCCCACATCCTCATTTAAGTAAGGGCTCCATAAAGAAAAATAAGTGTGCATTCCTTTCCAGGAATCCTGATAGTCAGATCAGAAACAACGTTAACATGCTTTATTCCATTGATACAGGCCACAAAGCCTGAACATACCCCACGAGTGCCTGAAGAACTCCACTCTGCCTTTCTACAGGAATACCCTCTTTGCTGATGCAGTGTGGCTTGACCTTGATGTCATTACTCTGCATCATAGTACAATAATTAATGTCTGTCCAAAACAATAATAATAGTAGATAGAGTGACTGCAGATAAGAAAAACAGGCAATCGGGTACATATGGGTAGTGGAAAAGGAAGAGTGTGTAAACTGCTTAACTCACTCTTCAGATGATGGTTGTTGTGAAAACATTCATGATGGATTATTTCCTGCCACATCAGCCTTTTAAGGGGTACTACGCAGGCTGCTGGATGTCTCATTTTGTTTTAAACAGGGTGAGATCCACTTGTCAGATCTGTGGCTCCCTTCCCCAATTTGTAATTATAAAAAGGTAAATGCACTGATTTTAGTCTGATTATAGTTTCAAAAACCAGGGTTCTTTCCATGTGACGCAGCCTCTCCTCTGTGTGAGAAGTAATGAACAGACTTTAACTGCTTCTCTATGGAGTAGAGCCAGGTCTGGGATAACATAGGTCTTCCCATAGAATGGCCTCTACTATGGTCTGGAAAGCACTGACTACCACCACATAAAAATATGTGCCCTGCCCTTGGTTAAGGGGTAGGCCATCAGGCTCAAATCTATAAGGGGTGCTGAGATATGACAAGTTATTTCCCAGGATGGAGAACATAATTTTCAGCAGAACACTTCTCAGGGAGACTTCTCTGGGTTCTTAGAAGGAATATTCTAATATGCCACGGATTCCCCATTCCCTGCAGACAATTCGAAAAGAATGATGGCTGGATTCTAAATTGCTAAACTAAGCAATTTAGTTTCCTCTAAGGAAACCTGGTTTCCCACAGAGTTTTCTTCTCCCAGACGTGGATGCAAATCCAGGCTTAGAATGAATTGCTCGGGATGTTAGATGTGTTCAATGTCACTTTCCAAATAAATGTGGAACATGTGGTTTAAAGATGAATCAAATTATTCATCAGTCCTAGGTAATCACTTCTCTTGATCTGACTGTGTCTACTCTATTGTATTTATACCCTTTGAAAAAGTGGCTCAGGAACACAGGCTCCTTGATCCAATGCTGTCTGTTCATTAAACTAGCTGCCGAGTGCCAGGACTGCATGCCCCCAGAGTAAAACAAAGCTATTAACCACTTTTTGTGAGCCAAATAAAATTGTCAGGCCAGATTTTTGGACAGGATGCATTTAACAGGGAAGGACCTAGATGTGATCCTGGGCCCACTAGAAATTCTGCTTCAGGTGTTCAAGTCTGCACGGCAGAGAATACGTAGACTTCGTGGAATGCATTCCATGAGATGAGCAGCCCTCAAGGTGGAGAATAACATTAGTCCTCAATAGTGCTATGTTTTACAAAAGGAATTAATTAAGCAGTAAACCGTGACAGGACATGCATCATGGTATCATAATCACAAGCCTCAGCTGCATTACAAGGCAAAAGGCCAAAGACTGAGAGCTTTCAACCGGCCTGGGAATGCAATTAGGGTGAAAGGCTGTGTGCCCTGGAGTGCCTTTATGCCAGGTTAAAAATTCATAGATATTACTCTCTCCCTCTAGAACACTAAAATAATCCACTTGGATGGAATTCTCCAGTAAGCCACCTTCCTTCACAATTCTTATAAGGTCAAAATAAAGGACAACATTAAATTGGGAATGCCAATGACACCCCAAGGTAAGATCTGCCCAGTAGCCTAGTATCCTTGACTCACTGGCAAGGCTTTCTTTGTGAAGATGTCCCAACCCTGTACAAACATCTGTCCCACCTCCTATGAGACTTACTATTTGGGCCCAGCTTGGGTATAAATAACTTTGTTGGACAATTGCTCCACAGTGCCTCAGAGCTGGTGTTTGGGAAGAGATGAGAAAGATCATGCAACAGCTCTGCAATTAGCATTATGCCAGCCCCAAATATGTGGTAAGTGACAGGTAAAACAATGTTCAGTTCTTCAAAAGAGGCCTAAGAATAATATTAGCGAAGTACTAGACCACCACTTACGGTAGGCCACTCAAGTCCTGCTTCCTTACCCATACTAATTAAAAAGAAACTGCAAGAAATGCAACTTATCTGCAATTAAGAATCATAGGTCTGTAGTCTTTTGTTCAAATCTAAAACTCTAGAAGGGTTAAAAAGCTTATCAGGCCAGTCAGGAAACTTGGCAAGTTTGAGATTATGTATTTAGAGATGTAAGCAAAAATGTACACAGAATATAAATGTGACCCCCAGCCACTAAATGTTTAAAAAAAACCACACACACATACACACACACACAGCTGGGGTAGATTAAGTATTAATGTCAAGTCATTTGAAAGTAGTAAAACAAAAAAAAGAAATTCAAACAGTGAAACAATCTACATATCTGCCCTGGAATTTAGAACACACATTCTACTCTTTGGGTGTTAAAAAAATTACCAATAGCTGCTGGTAATGCAACAGAGGCACACATCATTAACTAGATGAAAATGAAAAACCACCCTTCTTATCCTATTAAAACATCAAATTGTATTAATAGAAGTTTCCCCAATTTACAAGTATTCCACAGTTGAGTTCATAATAATAGAATGTATGTTGTGCAAGATAAGGGAAATGAAGAAAATATTTATTTTCCTTAGAATATCATTGGCAAAGGTTACTAAATTGAATCACAAATGTTTACAACACTTAACTCAAATTCTTATCACCGTTTTCCCATGAAACCAGAAGCCTGGCCCCAAAGGTTTTTGCATTCCTACTGTCCCCTCCCTCAGCCCACATTACACCAGCCAGCTGAGGGATCACTACAATCCAGCATCACTTCCCAAATTGCCCAGATCTCATTGTCCACAGCACTAGAGAAGGGAGAATAATTGCCATAGAGCTCCAACGCAGACTTCTAGGTGGCCTCAGAAATGAGAACCCTTCCCAAATACGTCTATAGGTGGCATTCGCCAGATTCTGATAGTGTGGGGCTGCAGTGGCCTCCAGGTGCTATCACACTACTGCAGGACAAACCAAGTCTTGATGTTTCTGGAAAGGGTTGTGCTAAAAAGCATTTCTCACCTGCTGCAGAATGTGTCTTTCCCTCAGCGTCATTAACCTTCTGTGAAGCTCTACCAGTTCATCTAGGTATGCCTGAAAGAGAAGAATGTCCCCCAAAAGGACAAGCACTTTAAGAAGTAGTTCAAAAATAAATGAATATGTAAGTAAAAACACACAAGCAGCAGCAGTGGAGGTTCTCATTATACCACTCCAGTCCAGGCTGTGTGCACTTAGTGCCCAAAGGCCTCTGCAGACCAAGCCTGTCTCAGACCAGCCATTACCTTTATCACGCCAACTTTAAAAAGGGAGTTGGAGGGAATTCTTGGACTTAATTGCTCTTATGAAGATTCAAGTCAGTAGACTCACTTTCCTCCAACAATATCTCTACAAAAGGTAGGGAAATTCAATGCTAAATTGTGAGTTTAAACATGTTAACAAAGGCTACTTTCATACTTTTTTTTTTTCCATTCTTGAATCTCAGAAGGTTTCTAAGAGAAAAAAAATTCTAAGTTTGAATATGGAAACAACAATGTACATTACCAATTAAGTCAGGGCAATTTTGTGGGGGTTTTCCTGTTTGTTTTTGTTTTAAAAAGGCTTCCTGGTCATACCAAACATTGCAGTAAGCAATGCCAGCAAGTGACAGAAGAACAGAAGAATGTATTATGAAAAACAGGGATCACTAATTATCATCTGATTTGTGAAGAGCTCCCCTGAAAGGGGAGAGGGGGTACCTCTCTTTCCATATGCTCGGACTCACGAGTCTTTGTTAGCATAATTGCACGGGTGCCCCCAGCACCATTTGCAATAAAGGCAAATGAAAGATTTGTGAAGCATTACAGAGGTCTGCCCTGGCCCTACAAAGCAGGGTTAGGGCCCTGCCCAAATCAGGTAACTTAACCCCATTAGGTCTTGTAGTCAGATTTCAGAAGCATGATGCACACTCTGGGAAAACAAACTGCACTAGCATCAGATGTCTTGCTCATCTACATCTGAGATTCCTTAACCAGCTACCTCTACCACAATTCTCTTACTTCCCAATTCAATGTGCCTGAAATCCCTTGGCAATGTAGGCAACACGGCATATGACAGCATAAGGCCAAGCTTAATACTGAAGATATAAACAACACATGGAAAACATACTACAAAGCACTGGGACGAAATACTCATCATTTGGGCATCTTGGGCACTTTGATAAAGAAAATGAAAGGAGAACCAGCAAGGATGATCAAGGGGAACACAAAGAAACGGAAGGCTTGTCAGTGTTGGAGCTCTGCTAGTAACAGACTGGAAACCTACCTTGTCACATTCACCATTCTTTATTTGCTTATCTGATTTGCTTTGCTTTATTGGACTTTTGACTTCAAGAATCTAGGGATCAAAGAGAACACTGTGTTAAATTTTATTTCAAACATCTCTTAGCTAACCAGCCACATTAAACAAAGGCACTCACTGAATGAAATGTACAGTAACATTTACTTTCCAAATAGCATTTCTTTTCTATACATTTTTCTTCTTCTCTCTAATCTTATTTTCCTTGGAAAATAAATTACTTAGATCTGAAATGCTGAGTCAGAGGAGTAGAACTAAAAAAAACAGTTGATGATAAGGAAATTGATCTAAGCTTCCAAGGCTGCTTCTCTTTTGCGACAACACTCTCACCATATGTATAGCAGCTGAGTTATGCTGAGATTATAGTTCCCTCTGGCAAGAATTTTTTTCCTATTCATTCTGCTGTTTCAGCATGACTACTAGTGCTCAGTATGCTAGGGATGACAAAAACAAATACTCAAATGCCCTTTTTAGTACCTAACTTTCACATTCTAAAATTACTCATGTGCACAAAACTGATGCAGCTTTGGAAATGAAGATGGCCATGAGTTATACTAGTTGCTCCCAATTTGGGATCCTCCAACTCAAGAAATAAAGAGATAGGACTATCTTCTGTGTTTTAAGAAACGATATGTTTACCCTTGGTAAAACGCCAAGTGCTTTCCCTTTTATCTGGACTGATTACAACTTAAGTTATGAATAGTTTTACGTACTGTACAGAAGCTTTGGTGGGAAGCTATGTTTCTACTTAATAAAAAGGAGAAGCAAATTATTATTTAATAAATGCAGCTGATTTCTTTGACAGCATCTTCAAAACTGAGGATTAAAAGGGAAGTATTTTTAAATGGCCCTCACTTGAAAAAGCTTGAAACCACTAAATTTATAAATGATGAGTGCTTACAAATGTGTATAAACACAAAAAGCAAAGTAATTTGTATTTTTCATTATAACTCATTATGAAGTGAGTTGTTATAATTGGAGACTAATATTAGAGGAGGAAAATGCCAAATAAAGGACCTACTTTATCTTAAGAAGTTTTATATTCCTACTGTTCTCTTCACCCATTCTCTGCCCTAACTTAGTAACAGTTCTGTCCACAAGTTTACTACATTCCATACCATAAAGATTTTAAGAATAAGTCCACTTTTAATCTGTAACGGTAAGAGCACTGATTAGGCTCAGAAGCCCAAGTTCAAGTCTCAGCCTTATCATTTAATATTTTCGGACTGCAAAGGATGAAATGGGAGAAATGAACAAGATAACACCCAGATTCCCATTCAGTTTTAACATTTTATACTACTAATAAACATTTTATTGGATGAGGATAGGAACATGACATCCTGGAAAAGACCAAATACTCCTGAAAGGGCAAATTTTTTTTTTTAATTGAGAATAATGCATGGGTAAAAAGTGTCTTTCTAACAGTCTTTCCTGAGAATCATGCTTTTTTCATCATTTTTACTATGAAGATAACCAAAAGACTAATTTGACCAGGCTAACTTAAAATACAATACTTTTGGCAACACAGGGAAATTACTTATTAGCAGAGGCAAGGCAATCATTTTTAACATGCTCCACTGTAAAGGAAACCAGATTCTCCACTACATTCAGAATGTCCTCCTCCATTGTTGTTGGAAGTGAGACCTCAAGGGAAAAATCAGCGCTGAGACCTAAGAGTAAGTAGGTCAGTAGATGGCACTCCTCGCCAACTCAGATACTGGGCTGGGCATGCAGAGACAATCCGCTGAGATTTCAGGCAAGAAAGAAAAAAAAAAAGTCCTTGCCTGCTTGCCTTGTGCATTACAGAACTGAATTTTGTTCCCATCATATCCCGCTGCCTCCCACGATCCCCTCCTCCAACTCCTGTACTCTGGGTGTTGAAGTGACTTGAGGACGCTGTATTTGCAATAGAACTTTGCTAACTAGGTTTAGAGAGTTCTGCCACCTTTTCTTCAAAGCAGAAAATAGAACATTTGGACGCTTAAGTCCCACCCCGCACATTCCGTAAGTGCTACAGCACAGAAGGCCAAAATACATTGAAATCCTAGTTTCTTTCTTCTGAAGCTGCAGTGGCAGGAACAAAAGCTCTGGGTGTCAGTGACCCGCCTCAAGTTACTGAGTGGCTGCCCAGAGAGGGCTCAGTTAATCTTCCTTCTTTGATCTCTCCCTGCTCCAAAATAAACAGCTTTGTCAAAACCTCATTCTGAGAGAGCTGAGCCCTGCTGAAGACAATTGTTTTATTTATGATCATTTCTTATCTTTAGGGAAACAACTCCAGAATAAAAAAGTACAACACCTTGTCTTCCACAGGCTTATTTTAAACCAGTTTAACTGGATAGACTCTTTTTAATTTCATTCAACATGCCTTGCAGGCTGATAGGTGATTTATGATATTCTGAATATTAACTCGGGTCCAATGGATCACTTCCTTCCTTCAAGTCCTTTCTCCCCTCCTTCCCTGCCAAGCTTTTGGCTAAAAAAGATGTGGTATTTTGTTTTTGTTTGAACTTCACATAAGGGAGGTTTGGAGTGAAAAAACCATCTCTGGTTGAAATGATGCAACACTCTTTATTATTCCCTATTAAACTGTACTGAGAGAAGCAGAGCCACCCAGACTGCCTAGCTACTCCATTTATAGATACAGCAGTCTCTGAAAATAGAAGAATTGTGGTTTAGTAGCACTTTTGTCTTTAATCTGAGAAAATGTCTTGACAAACTTTCAAGATTATATTTTTCTGTAACCCTTTATGAAGAATGACAACTCAGTTATTCACAGATGGATTCTCTACTGATAGATCTTTCATGCTAATGACAGTAGCTCCCAACAATACTCAGGTTAATTACTTGCTTGGTTGACGTGCGACTCTATGTTCACTTTTATTCAGTATGAAAATGTTTGACTCCATTAGTACTTCCCCTCTTCTCTAGTCCTGGAAGATTTGAGAAAAGGCAATGGACAATTCAGCTTTGCCTGGTACTTTACCAAACTCAGAGATCATTATCAATTCATAGAGACAGAACAGGAGAGGCGTATGGAAGAAGGAAACTCAGAGTGTTCCCATTTTGGAGTTAGTCCTTCCAAGTATGTTCTCAACTCTTTATTTATTGTGAAAATTCAGATTCATACTCTTTCTCTATCCCTGTCTCTCTCCACCTACTTTTCTCCCTCCCTCCTGCACACATACACACACATTCAAATACGACTAAAAAGTCATTCCAGAGTGAAATTTAGTTGACTTCTAGATTTTAAAGAAATTTTTACTCTCTTACATCATCAACTTAGAGAATTAAGATATACTAGTAATTTTTTTTTAAGTCTCAGAAGCTTGACTTAAAAGAGATAGCATCACACCTGAGCCCAGTGCAAGTGATTTGAGGGGCTAGGAAATCAATACTAAACAAGGTTTAAGAAACCGTTTCTTGTCTTCTTGGCTCCAAGACATAGCTCTAAGGAGGTAAGCCTTCCCATGGTATATATATTTCCTAACCCAGACTAGCTAAAAGTGGAAGCATATGAACTTTCTTACCATGCTTACAGGTGCATGGAGAAAGTGACACATAATAGAGTATTACTGGCAGACTGATGATTCATATGTGTGAAGCGACATTTGCCAAATAAACACACCAAGGAACCAGAGGTATGCTACTTAATCAGGTAAGGTAACTTTTACCCTCTCCAGATAGATGACACTATTTGTTTTTGGTTTTGTTTTGCTAGACAGGTAAAAAACAGTCTGACAAAGAGTCTAAACCTTTCCCTAAAGCCAAGGTCAGTTCAAGACTGCCCATTCAGGAAGGGCTTAAGGGAAGCCATAAGGTTTGAAGGGCATGAAAGGGGCTTGTTGGAGCTGCATTCCCTAGCAAGCCCACTTTTCACTATGATTAGGAGAGATACTGAAGGAGATTAGTGAGGGGCACAAAAGCAGAGCCTAATTCCCTACACTCCTGGCCCTGCCACTGCTGTGCCCATGACGTATTGTAGCTCTCATACACCACCCACTGGATACAGAAATCAAGCTGAAATAGGCTTAAGTTGGACATAAAAATATCATTGGCCGGGAGCACTAGCTCACACCTCTAATTCCAGCACTTTGGGAGGCCAAGGTGAGTGGATGATGAAGTCAAGAGATTGAGATCATCCTGGCCAACATGGTGAAACCCCGTCTCTAATAAAAGTACAAAAATTAGTTGGGCGTGGTGGCATGCGCCTGTAGTCCCAGCTACTTGCGGGACTGAGGCAGGAGAATCGCTTGAACCAAGGAGGCGGAGGTTGCAGTGAGCCAAGATTGTGCCATTGCACTCCAGCCTGGGCGACAAGAGCAAAACTCCATCTCAAATTAAAAAAAAAAAAAAAAAAAAAAAAAATTCTCACCAAGGTTCAAATTCTATCCTAATGCTAGTTCTCACTGAAGCACAAATTTACAAAAGGATCCCAAATTATCTATTTAACCAGTCCAGTGTTCTCAGCTGATTGGCCATGATGTATATGTCTTTCCTCTTTTTACTTTCCTCTGAAATGCTTGACTTGTGGTGGCAGGCATCCACACCAGAGGTAAAAGTCGCCCGGGCCATGAGCACAGCTGGCCCTGAAGATGGGGAAGAGCCAGGATATGGAAAAAGAAGTAAATAACTCATTGAATACCCCATCTCTAAGAGATAATGAGGCTGGACTTTGATTTTTATGTAGGACACAAAGAAATTGCAGTTGAACTGTAACTAGTAAAATAAAGAGTACTGGTATCATTCCTACTTAACAAGAATGGATTTGCATTATAGACAAACCTTATAAACGAGGAATTTTAAACTACAAGGGATCTTTGCCAGTGCTTTAAATAAAATGCAAAAAGAAAAAGTCTTCAGCTATAAACTAACATTTTCCAAGTAACACAAAGACCACAAATTTAAGGGCAAGACTATCTAAAATTGAAGGACACCTGTGAAACAGAGTATTTTCAGAAAAACACAGTTGTTTAGTTTTCAAGTTAATATTCATAGAGTAACTTGAATTAAGCAGTTATTGTAGAGGTCATAGGAAACCTGTTGACACTAAAAGATAAGAAAAACTTATGATAATGAGAGTATCAATTCAATGCTCAATGAGGCTTTTACATTATTCATGATACTGAAAATAGTTTATTTTAGTTGGTAAAGAAAATATCCCAATTTAATTTATTTAACAAATGCTCTTTATCATAGCCTTCAAAGTTCTGCCTAGATCTTATCCAAATAGTTGTATTTTGAGTTCACTATCAAATTAATAAGCTTTCCTTTAGCTCAAGTTGTAACAATGATAATGACCATTATTTTCTCAGCATTTTATTAATTATTCCTTAAAATCCAAGTAATAATCCTTTTATCTTGGACGAGAAAACTGAGGCAAAACACCTATAATAATAAACTACCATCAATGAGTGCCAAGTAGGGGCTGTGCACTGCCTTTTGCTCTTTATATATATTATCTGTCATCTTCCCAATAACCTAAAAGGTAGTGTTAATGTCATTTACAGATAATGAAACTGAGAATCAAAAGCTAAAAGTTAATTTCCCACCAGTAAATTACCAGTGGTAAAGAACTAGGCTTTATAGTAGCCCCAAAGGTCATATTCTTCCTAATTAAGGCACCTACTTACTGCTGAGGTGTAAAGTATATAGAAATCAGGAGTAAATGGTAAATTGGCAATACTTTTTGTCACCCTCTCTTATTGTACCAACTTAATTAACCCATCGGATGGAACATATTCATCTTCTCATGACAACAGAACCTCTTTTACCCTAACTATGTGTTTATTCCAAAGGCTGTGGCCTCCCATCTATTTGGCAACAAGAGGAAGTTTGTTTAAAATTCAGGGATGAAAGTTTTGCATGCTTTGTAAAAATGATTACACCTAGCTCTGCAGAGTCTTGCAAAGTGCAAACCCCACAATTTACCTGGTTGTTGTTGGTTTTTAATAAGGGTGGCGGAGGTTCATGATGTAGAGGTGAAGAAGCAGAACTGCTTTCACTATCGCTGCCATCACTTAAGCTAACTCTGAAAAGAAAGAGACAAGTTATGAATATCATTACAAACAGATGATTCTTGAAATACCCATAGAAATAGGCGTGGAAAGCACAGAATCCAAACACTAACCCTTGACAAGTTCATTTTAACTCACAGCCACTAACATGTATTGGTACTTACTTTGTAACTGGAACTGTGTTAAGTGCTTTACCTGCCATTTCTCTTTTCATGATCTCCTGTTTCACAGATGAGTAAACTGAGACTTAGAAAGACTGGGTCACTCATCTAGGGTAACATAGGTAAAAATGGTGGCTCTGGAATTCAAATACAAGCAATGCGGCCCAAAGCTAGTGCTCAGTTATTATACTTTACTGGGGTCATTTATTCATTCATCTCCCTTCTCCTGCTCTACGCACCTACTATGATCAAGCATGCTACTCAAGCTTACAGAAGGTCAGCAAAATTAAGACAGTGTGTAGATTACTACCTTTATTTTTCTTTCCTCCTCTCTGTTACAGATGAAAAAGTTACAAACGTGTCTAGAATACACGCTGCAGGGGAAGAAGCAACTACATAAATGAAACTTCATAAAGAATGTGGAAAACAGCCCTGCACCACTGACAGCACAGAGTGACATCTAAGGATTGAACATGTGGAGCCCGGCATGCTAGAACCACTACCAATCATTTCTACTGTGTCATTATTCAAGGCTGTCTCCAGTTCTCAACACTGATACAACAATTCATTGGAAATACGCTACAACAACACAAAGAAATGGTATGTTTGGAATAACTGCTTTGGAAAACTACAATGATATCTTTTAAAAATTAAACAAGTAAAGACAATACACACCACCTCCTCCCCATTTTTTCTTTTCAGAAGAAAATGGAATTTTCTTTTATCCACAATAGGAGAGATTTCTTTATTCTACCGTGCTGAATGTAGTCCTCCCTCAGAGATGTCCTCTTTCAGTGTTTGTTCCCCATCTCTCTGGTTATATCCCCCTAATGTAAGATGCTTCTCAGAAACAGAAACTGTTTTAGAAATCAGGATAGTTTTTCTTTCACTCTGAATAGGCAATCACATTCTAGCTCTATAATGTATTCAGACAGACAAGATACAAGATAGGAAATGAAAAGGATACACTGGGACATCCTTTTAGCAAAAACTGATAGAACTTGTTTTTCTTAACTAAATTACATTAATGAAGTGTTCAGTTGAAGCGCTGTTTTAAAATGCTTCTTGAGTGAAGTGGAAGGCTGAGTATTTAAACTGATTAAACAGTTGAGACTTCACAAGTGCAGTGAAGATCAAATGTTACACTGGCACTGCCATGCTAACACAGCACATGTCAGGCGGGGAACAAGAAAAGCAGCCCCCACAATGTATATCTATATCAGATGACTCACAAGCCTATATGACGACCACACGGACTCAGGGGTTGAAGCAATAAGTAGGTGGGCAGCAACTAATCACAGAATATCCAGATCTTCTAAATAACAACTTGGGAAATCATCTAAATAAGTCACACAGTTTTCATCAGCTAAATTTGAGAGCAGCCAGTGGTCAGGATTTTGGTTGGTATAAGTAAGCTACTTTAAGTTTCAGCCATTTTGAGGTCTTTTTTCCCCTACTAGTTTCCTTTTTATCCGACAAAAGACTTCTAAAGGGAAATGTTATAAGGCCATAGTCATATTAAAGAGGTTATATTCTCCTATTTAAAAGGAATGCTGACAGGTAAGTCTGAGAGACAAGGAGAGAAACAGGGGTTGAATACGGCCATAAAAAACAGTCACTGAGATATCTGATGGGGCACACACCCTAAGGAGGCTCTTCTCAGAGGATAAAGCATTGGCAATTAGGAATCATCCTCTCTAGCTTGGGTTAAGACTGCTTTTTTTTTTTTTTTTTTGAATCTTAGGGTCTTCTACATAGTGATGGATAACAGGGAAAGATTTAATGCAATATATTATAAATGTAATTGGATTTTAAGTTCAAGTAGATTGTATTTTTTCCACTCAAGACAAATTAAAGTAAGCATGCCTATTTGTTTTCCTCATGATAAAGAAATAAAATCCTCAGGGCAATTTCAAGTTGACTATTAATTATAAGTCACATGAATTACCATCTTATAACACAGAATTATGCCTCACAGCATTAAAGCTACTTAAGGCACCTAATTGTCAGCACACTTAAAAGGAATTTATTTTTTGGAAAACACATAGGTGATCCTAGTTTTAATTAGGTCACACACATAATTCGCTAGAGCCAATTATGTATTTCTAACTACCATCAGCAAACACATTTCTTTAAATTCTGAGAATATCTCCAGCAGTCGATCGACACAAACTCTTTAAATGAAAACAGACTTTAGTTCAACAGTCAGTCATGCCACTTGGCATACATTTCCGAGGACAAGGACATCTAATGTGACTTTTTCCTATAAAATTTTTAGAGGAAAAGTCTCTTTCTGAGAAAAAGGAGAAATAGTTCCCTGTAAAGCAGGTGTAGGCATGCCAAGGAGACCCTGCATCAAATGAATGTGACCATCTACTACCGTTTTTGGTGTTTCACACCTTTGCTGTGATCATCCCAGCAGGGCTTGTGAAAGAGTCTGACTTCATCACAGGCAAACCCTTTCCTTCCAAGACACTCACCTGCGACTTCGGCTGCCTCCTCTATTTACAGGTCTCTCCATTTCAGAGTCATTGTCGTTATCCTCCACTTCATCTGATTCCTCCTCATTGTCATCGGAATGCAGATCTTTCATTATAGACCTCAAAGGACCTGAGTAGTGACAACGAACCACAGACAATCAAACATATACTCAAACACACTTAGTCATATTAGAAACAGGGGGATGCTTACCAGCACTGAAGACTTGTTAAACATAATCATCACATATATTTTTACAATTTACAAGGCAAATTTGGTATAGTTTCTAAAATGCAATCTCTGCCAAAACACTATTGTTTTCATAAGATTCCCAAAATGTTCATTAAAGAATCTCTATTTTCTAGGAATTTTTTTTCTGTGTATTTTTCTTCCCTAAGAAAAATTACACATAAAAAGAAAAAGAAAAATCTATTAGTAAATTGAATGTTTTGTTAGGTTAATCCATGTATTGAAAAGTTGAGATTAATAAATCACTGTGGTTGTAACTTGTTCTTGGCAATGTAGCCTTTGTGTGGTAGTTTTTGATCTATTAAGGTTTAGCTTTTCCTTTTATTTCAAGGTCAATTTCAGGTCAAGCAAGCATTTCAGTCAAGTTCAGATTATAAAGTATTTCAATTTCATGGTGTAATATCCTACCTCTGATCTTCATATTGATCTTGGACACAAGGTCTTGTCGCAGCAATTTTAAGCAGCCAATTTTCATTTTACATTTTAAGAAATTACTGGCACAATACCCGCAAGTATAAACATAAATAAGACCATGTAATAAATCAGGTACACAAAAAAATCAGGACAGTATCCAGCATCAGACAGGAAAAAGAAAAAAACCAAACTCTAATTTTATTCTAGAACAGGACAGAAATGAAAACATACACACACAAACACAAACTGGTGTGGCTTATTTTCACTTTACTAGGCTAAATGTGACAAAAAAAATAGGTAGTTTTAATCTTAACAGAAGAGGTTATAAAGACAATGAAGAAAGAGAGACACTTTCATTCTGGAATAGGCAATTCCTAAAGTCTCATCTATGACAGGGATATCTAAGCTATTACTATCTTGACTCCCTACCATCTCACATTCTGCAAAACCCAAATTTTTCTGCTTTTGTAGTGGGCTTATTTCTTTGGAAGTCAGTGAAACGAGACCTCTGAATAGCCAAAACGATTACTGTCTTTTATTTTATTTTTTTCCTGGAAGCTTAGCCTTAGTCCAAACACATACAACAATTTAATCCTTTTCAAAACATTCAAGGCCATCAGGAATTTAGTGTGGTCAATGAAAAAGGTAATGTTCAATACTATGCTAAAACACAAATTCTACTTTGATACCTATGCATTTTTCATGTAAAAAACAGTGTACATTTGAAGATTTTCCACATACACAAAAATGGAAAATTAGTTAAATATTCTAGTTTAAATGTCTTTGTTCTGAATTTAACACTTGATCATGAGTAAAGAAAAATATATATTTAAAAGACAGCCAATTAGTATTGCTTTAAAAAAAGACTATTAACACGTAGGAAAAAAAATATGTCCAGGAGGAAAAATGAAAACCTATTTCCCTATGTCAAAGCCTCTTAAAGCTTTTGCTATTGTATTTCCTTTGGGAACTCCCTGGGATGGGCTGTGTCTATAATCCTTTTGTAGCAATGAGAATCTGATGGCAGGGACTGGAAAAAGGGGAATTTCTAGAGCCTTGCCTTGCACATCAGAACAACACTCAACTGCATTCCTAAGGGAAATAAATACAACTGCATAAAAGCCTAGTTATGATTCAAATAATAAAACAGTATAAGATAGGTGATAAATCAACGCATTAAGATGTTTTGTTTTGCTTTTTCTTTTTTTTTTGAGACGGAGTCTCGCTGTGTCGCCCAGGCTGGAGTGCAGTGGCGCAATCTTGGCTCACTGCAACTTCCGCCTCCCAGGTCCAAGGGATTCTCCTGCCTCAGCCCCCCGAGTAGCTGGGACTACAGGCGCGTGCCACCACGCCTGGCTAATTTTTTGTATTTTTAGTAGAGACAGGGTTTCACCATGTTAGCCAGGATGGTCTTGACCTCCTGACCTCGTGATCCACCTGCGTCGGCCTCCCAAAGTGCCATTAAGATGTTTTATGAGAAAAGCGTCTCCTAGTTTGCAGGAGATGTTGATACCTTGTTGCCTGGTCTGGGATGGTGTGAAGCTGGAGCTGGAGCTGGAGCTGGAGCTGGCAGGACTGGGTTGTTCAGACTTTAAAGAAGAATAAAAAGGCACCATCAATAAATTTATGGGATACCACACATCTAAAGTTGAAAACAGTATTGTTGCTCAAACCATCCTCTGCAAAAACCGTGATGCATTTCATTATGTAAATTACTAACACAGGAGAGTCATGTTGTCTTTTGTTGTGCCCACCTTATTTTTATTGGATGCAGAAAAAAGTATAAAAACTCAAGAATGAAGAGATAAACACCTGGGTGTAACATGAGAAAAGGGCCTGGCTTTGATTTCACTCCCATGTTTACTGCTATACAGATCTCCTTTTCATCTTAGATATAAAATACTTCTTTATTATACTTTAAGTTTTGGGATACATGGGCAGAATGTGCAAGTTTGTTACATAGGTATACATGTGCCATGGTGGTTTACTGCACCCATTAACCCAACATCTATGTTAGGTATTCCTCCTAATACTATCCCTCCCCTAGCCCCTGAACCCCGACAGGCCCTGGTGTGTGTGGTTCCCCTCCCTGTGTCCATGTGTTCTCATTGTTCAACTCCCACTTATGAGAATATGTGGTGTTTGGTTTTCTGTTCTTGTGATAGTTTGCTGAGAATGATGGTTTCCACCTTCATTCATGTCCCTGCAAAGCACATGAACTCATCCTTTTGATGGCTGCATGGTATTCTATGGTGTATATGTCCCACATGTTCTTTATCCAGTCTATCACTGATAGGCATCTGGGTTGGTTCCAAGTCTTTGCTATTGTGAATAGTGCTGCAATAAACATAAATGTGCATGTGCCTTTATAGTAGAATGATTTATAATCCTTTGGGTATATACCCCATAATGTGATTACTGGGTCAAATCGTATTTCTGGTTCTAGATCCTTGAGGAATCACCACACTGTCTTCTACAATGGTTGAACTAATTTACACTCCCACCAACAGTGCAAAAGCATTCTTATTTCTCCACATCCTCTCCAGCATCTGTTGTTTCCTAACTTTTTAATGACTGCCATTCTAACTGGCTTGAGAGGGTATCTCATTGGGGTTTTGATTTGCATTTCAAAAGAAGACATTCAAGCAGCAAACAAACATATGAAAAAAAGCTCATCATCACTGGTCATTAGAGAAATACAGGTCTCTTTCTAAGAGATACCTTGATTACCCTTTCTGTAATGTTTGATTGACTCAATTGGTTAAAACATAGTGGTAATGAGGCTAAGGTCATTAGTTCAATCACATTATGAGCCAGTTAATTTAACTGCGGCCCTAGGCCATGACCCAACCCTAACCCTTTTCATCCACAGTTCGCAAATGGAGGCCAATATTCACAAATGACAGGTCCAAATGAGTCAAGGGAAAATGTTGCCATTCTTCTTTTTTGTAAATTCTCTTTAATTCCACAACCTATTAGCGGCAAGGAAAGAGTGTCATACACACACCTCAATCTCTTACTCTCTATGAATTCTCCTTATCCTTTTGTAACCAGAAAGTTCCACATCATCCAACTCAGTTCTCTTCCTTCTCCAAAACCACTGAAATATAGTGGAAGTATCATGTTTTCTTGTTAGAGGTATGACAGTATTGCACTGCCTCTGATGTGTCTTTGCTCCCAGATAGTCTGTAGACTGCCAGCACTTGAAAAATTAGGGATCTGTCTTGTGCTTCTTGTAATCCTCTTGTACTAGCATAATGCATTGCATACGAGAGGCACTTTTTATCGGTGACTAAAGACAGCACATTAGGCCCTGTGTTCCACCGTCTACCACAGTTTTATTGAAAGACTTCATGGCAGCTAAAGACAGGCAAAACAGACACATGGATGTAAGTGTGCAAAGATACTGATCATACCAACAAACTTGAATTTTATATATTTAAGGCTAAATTTATTTCAAAATAACTTAGTAATGTTCTTACAACCAAATTTATTTCCATCCTAATTTTAATATGCTCATAGTCTTAACTACGTATTTGAGAATATTTGCGGTTTCCTGAGTATAGACCAAATCTTTTTACTCCAAGGTGACCAAATTCAAGGACAAACTAAGAGCACAACCAGAAATCACTAAATGAGGATGAGAATCTCAGTTTATATTTGTTTCTCACCACTGCTTTTCTCATCTCCCCTTCCAGCACTGAATTCTCACCCCCTTCTCCCAAGGTAGCACCAAGCTCTACCAACTTGGACACAAGGAAACACTTTCAGACATTTCTAATGCACAATTCACATCCTCAGGCTTGATGGGAAAGCAGGTGTCAGCAATCTACCATTCATTCTGCAGGAAAAGAGCCAGACAGGATCTCTAATGAGCAGCAGGCGGCCTACCAACCCTTCAGCACTGTAAGATTGACTTGAGGATTGTAGCACAATGTCTTACACATTGCTGTTTGTGGGTCACAAAGAAAAGTTGGTTTACAAGTACAAATGCTCTGTGAGGTACTCTTCATTTCTGTCGAGTGGCTCTTCTACTGTTGAGCCCCAATGGCGAGTTACACAACTGAAAGAGCATTCAGTTGGCATTTATGTGCACTGCCCAGCTGCAAAACATTTCTCCCAGGGCTTGCAGAGTACTCCTCTTCCTCTCCAAGTTGCTCTTTTCAGCCATGAAAAGTGCCTGCAAATGATATTATTTTGATAGCTCTGGAAACCATCTGGGAGCCGAAAAAGAGGTTTCCTTACAGTGAGCTGAGAGAGCTCTAATTCCTCATCCTGCCTGGCCAGTTCACATTGTATTGGACTTAAAGGAGCCACTCTGCCAGAGCTATTGCTGAGAATGACATTAGCTAGGATGACAAGAGAAGATGGTGGCCATCTCTCCAACTACCTCACATGAAACATGACTCATCTGTCTCAAGCATCATGTCAATTCCAGAACCAAACCAGGAGGCAGACTTCTTTCAGCTTCTTACCCATAAATAAGGTTAATAATTCCACAGTTGCTGATCACCAAAAAACCCACAAATAGGAACATAACACAACAGGAAAAAGGGCTTTTTATTCATAATTTATGATTAAGACCTTGCCTCTGCCACAAAGTATTTGAGAAGTTTTACAAAAAAAGACATTAATTCTACAAGGACATTAAAGTAGAAAGTTTAAAGCAAAAGAGCTGGATAAAAAAGAATAAAATGCTGAAGAGTGGGTAACAAAGCAATGTCCTGAAAGCTTTTAGTAGTCAGGACAGAACAAGCATTTGTGGAAGATAAGACCTTTAAAATTATCTAAGGCAGTGAATCTCACACTTTTGTGGACAATAGAACCACAGGAGGACTTGTTAAAACACAGCCTGCTGCCCCACCCAGGAGTTACAGATTCAGCAGATCGAGGGACATGGGTGAGTGGACCGGACCCTGGAATTTATACAACATCACAGGTAATGATGATGCTGCAGGTCCAGGGACCAACCACACTGATGAGAACCACTGATCGAGGACCCAGAGACTGATAATCACAGAAATTCAACAGAATTAGCTGGGAGAAGCCTATATATGATGAGATTCTGATTTAATAGGTTGATAGTGGAGATCCAGGCATGTTTATAAAAAGCTCACAAGAGATACTGATGAAAACTACAGGATGAGGCCGTTGATTCTATATTAGTTTGCCTTTCTTCCCTAAATACACACGTACAAACACATTTTTGAAAGAATTTTAAATTTAAGAAAGCATGAGTATATACATCATGAGAAAATTAGAAAGAAAAATAGACTTATCCAGAGGCAGTCTGAAAGAATACAATTGCCACTCAATGAAAACATTTATGAAGCATGTACAACCATGTTGTGGTGGAGACACCTTAAACTAACTTAATCTGCCTAGTACAGAATTCACCTGCATGTTAACTGCTCAAAGAGCCACTCTGACACTAGAGGAGGCTGACACTGTCTTACATTTCATTAAGTCCAACCAACAGAATTGCAGTTCACTGTGAGTTATGTATTTTAATTTTAAAATGTCATATTTATCTTCCAAACACAAACCAAGGATGATTATGTAAACTAAAGAAGGTCACTTGCTTTACACACAAAAAACAATCATCATAAACAGGGCTACATGAAGATCTTTACAGGCCCTAAGGATTGCCAAGATATAATATTCTCCTTTCCCCACCCCACCCCGTAAGAAACATTTTAAATATGTGTCTGTGTCTGTGTGCATGTGAGGGCGTGCACATGTGTGAATGCTAAATCAAAAATTCAGAGAAGTCCAATGAGGTTCTGATTTTTCCCCCTTGCTCACTAATATAACACTTGTTTTTAAAATATCAAAATTCTCCCCACTAGAAAAATGTCTTACTTCTTCTTGCTGATCCTCTAACCACATGCTTACCTGACCTACTGGGTAATGAAACACTATGCATGTAGTTTCTTTCAATGGCATGTTCCACAGTGATAAAAGTACAGACATCCTTTGTTTCATCATTGCCATTTTGCCAACAATTTGTGTTCACTTCATGTCTCTGCATCACATATTGGAAATTCTTGCAACATTTCAAACTTTTTCATTATTATTATACCTGTTACAGTGATCTGAGGTCAGTGATCTTTGATGCTACTATTGTAATTGCTTTGGGGGCACCACACACCACGTCCATGTAAGATAGCAAACTTAATAAATGTGTATGTCTAACTGCTCTACCAACCTGTCAATCCCCAACTCCCTCCTTTTCCTTGGGCCCCCCTATTCCCTGAGATACAATAATATTGAAATTAGGCCAATTAATAATCCTACAATGGCCTCTAAATGTTCAAATGAAAGGCAGAGTCACACATCTCTCTTATTTTTTTTTTTTTTTTTGAGATGGAGTTTCACTCTCATTGCCTAGGCTGGAGTGCAATGGCATGATCTCAACTCCCTGCAACCTCCGCCTTCCAGGTTCAAGCCATTCTCCTGCCCCAGACTCCGATGTAGCTGGGACTACAGGCATGCACCAATAAGCCTAGCTAATTTGTATATTTTTGGTAGAGATGGGGTTTCACCATGTTAGCCAGGCTGGTCTCAAACTCCTGACCTCAGGTGATCC